GCCGTTGGCTATGGCTAAGGGCGAGGACCTCGAGAACCTCGTTAAGGGCCGACAGTTTTTGGACACACACTTCGCTGCCTATGTTAACAGTGTTGAGCATCTGGTGAATGGGGACGTCCTTAACACCAGATCGGAGCTCAACAACAGAGAGTGTTATCACAAGTTTGTCGACACTTTCCACGACCAGTGCATGAATATCGCTCAGGTATGTGTTGCTGTGATGGGGAACACCTAATATAAATTATTTTTGATTATATTATACATTATTAGTTATCGAGATATAAAAAAATTTAATATATAAAAATAGGTGATATAATTTTCCAAATAATAAACTTGGTAAATATTATGTAGGGTTTAATCAATTGTAGGATTTATTTACAATGTACATATATAATGCCATTTTAGAAGCTATACAAAATTTTTATCAATAATTTTATTATTTAATTAGATTTTAATCACAATTTTCTGTACATTTCCATAGAATTCATACGTTTTGGGTAAACTGCAAACCTTTGTGAACATTTGCGAACAGAGCTCACCTGCCGGTGCCGAGGCTGCCCTCACCCAACTGGTGTCTTACTGCCAACAAAACATGGCTTACCCCGCTTATATTATATAAAATATTTTCTTATTTATCTTATAAATAAGCTGTTGTAACGTAACAATTTGTTAAATAAAGTTACTTGTTGACTATATACATAAGAAATTATTCATTTTTGAAATTATTTCGGTTAATATAGTTAAATTATGTTTATGCTATTTACCTAAGCGAGTTTCTAAAGTTATCAAGATTCTTTGGGATACTTATAATAATTATTATTATACTGTTCTACTGTATTATAATGGAGCATTGTAACAATTACATGTGAGATTTACGAAATAAATGAGAGTGTTAGATTTTGGTAAATAAAGTTGTTTTTCAAATACCGTATACTATTTATTTGCATTAAAAATAAGGTACTGTTTTATTCGTGGTATGTATAATTTTAGAAAGTCAAATGCCTGTCCCTTTATTAAATAAAAATATACAACTCATCTCTGAATGACTATTGAATTAAAAGGTATATTAAACTGTATTTAATTACATATATTAAAGTTATTATAATGACTAACAACATTGCAATAGTATTTGTTAATGTGTTGTTGTTACAAATATTGTACGCAATAAGTGGCAACATATTTGTTATAAATGCTTTGCTAAAAATTAATTTAATTATGCTTGATATAAACAATGTATAAATCCATTTCATATAAGTATGTGCTATCGTGGATAATATGTCTATTTTACGGCATATCTGTAAGTATTTATTAATGTTTTAAATTAAATTAATTAATTTTATTATGTGTTAAGCATTTATCGGTGTATATAAGTGGTGTGACTATGACGGCCCTCCAAGATATATACCAGGCTAATTTGTTTGAGATATCCATTGCCAATACTGTCAGTTGGTGTGTGTACATGTTCGGATCACCAGGTACAGTTTTATGCTTGTTTTCTTTATAAAAATTATAAACTAAGACTTTATTACTTTATAAACCAGATAATAAATTGAAAATAAAATCATGTAATAAATGTTTTATTAGAATTACTATAAGATTATAATTTTTAGAGTAATTTATAGTGAATTAAAATTTATTTTGTAGCCATTTGTTAGTTTTATCTAAATAGTTTTATTTCTAATAAAATTTTGAACATAGTTAATTATTGTTTCATTTAAATATATACAATTGATATAATTCAAAAACTTAAATACTTTATATAATTAAAACTAAGTTTGTATGAACCAATACAAATTATAATAAAAAGTTTAGTAAATTAGTTTACTTTGAAAACATTTGTTACAGTTTAATAAAAACTATTCCCACTATTTAATTTAATAGCATGCTAAATTAATCTCATAAAATACAATGCCTTTCCATAGCATACGGGCCACAGCCGGGTAATAAACAAGTGGTGAATGGGTGTCACCTCATCGTAATGGGCGTAACCACAGCACTGGTGCCATACATGCCGTCCATAGGCTTACTATACGTGCCGATCATTATATACGGCTTATGTCTCAATCACATTAACCTCGCGATCATCG